AAAATAAACAACAAAAGAATTTTATATTATGATCAAAGCAATCTTGCTAACTTTAATTTTATATGTGACCTAGATTTAGGTCGTCGGAAGCACGAACACGTGTATAGGCTCTAGTCACCTCGCCGCCGCCATATTGGATGCAATGTTGCAGTTGATGAAGCGGGAGTTGGTCAGAGGTCCATGTTTGCTCTGCTCCTATTTTATATTGTTTGATGAACTTTTGATCTTGAATACTGTTCGTTATCTCCATATGTCTCATTAAAAATTTTATTTTCCTTGTTTTCCACTTAAATTAAAGAATTATGAACAGCAAATATTGTTTTAATTTTATATACAGCCTACTCCGGATATATTGAAATCCAGGGGACCATGCAAATTATTTCAATATATCCGTAATTCAATATAAGCGAAATCGTAAAGCCGCCATTTTTACAAGTTCAATCCCGATATAAAATAAAGAAGAACAAATTAATGTTGTCATCGTTTATCTATAACAGTGAACAGATTGCATAGAATATTAGTCCTTGAAAGTTTAAATATTTTTTTTTATTTCTGTTTTATTGAAAAGACAATCTTCAACCTCATTATTATTCCCCGATCGCATTTATTTACGTTTTGAAGAAAATTCACCGGACTTAAACGGTTGAGTACTGCTGAACGCTGCTTGTATTTCATCGTAAGTGTACTCGGGTTAATCCCTTAGTTATTTCGAATAAAGGCATATCAATAGCCATTAACAGTACGTATTTAATTTCAAAGTTGTCTTTTTCCTAGAGCTGTGGGGGTTACTATATTACGTTTAGCTGTTTAGTCTCGATACGTCCGTATTATATACATGGACGCAAAGAATTTCACAGTGAAGAATTTTATTTCCTAAGAGCATGCAGTATAAAAACACATAAGGTGAAAACTTAATTATTCACACCTGTGTATATAACTGGTCAATCAGGCATAATTACTGTCACCAACCGTAACGACAGCCGCCAGGGAGTACTTCAATATAACCGTTATGAAAACAACTCATTATCACCTGTGGGGACCGATCAGTGGCTTCAATATAAGCGAAATTTCAATATATCCGATTTCAATATAACCGTTATTTTAATGCAAAGAATATAAGAGGCAAAAACTGGGGATTTATTTCTATTTCAAAATAAGCGGAATTTCAAAATAAGCGAGTTCAATATAAGTGGAGTAAGCTGTATAAAAAAATGAAACGACTTCCCTTATCTGAAGTTGTTCAAAAGAGGTATTTAACAAATAGTCGATAGGGAAACGGGAATAGATAGTTTTCATATGACCTAATTTCAGCAAAAGTTAGCTCCCGTTGGCCGCCATACTGGAGGTCCAAATGCTCATATTCCTTCATTGTTCAACCAATCTTAAATTTTTATATTTGCGATTCTGAATTAGGAATCATTATTTTTCTGAAGTATATAAATTTTTGGAAGCCTCCTTTATTAAGAAAAAATTATTTAATAAAGATTTTCCACCAAATATTTCTGCTATATTTTCTTAAATTTGGTAAGACAAAGAGGAAAACTCACCGTGTCGACCTCCAATATGGCGACCAACGGGAGGTAACTTTTGCTAAATTTGGGGCCATCGAAAACTATCTATAACATTCTTAATCTCCTTGTTCTGTATGAGATTTTCTATATAACGTTCTTAATCTATGGATTATTTGGCCTTGCATGATTATTGATCTTTTTTTTAAATAATTCTGATTTGTCTATCTTTAGCAGATTTCAGGTGTACCTATCGTACTGAAACATTTATTGATTACCTTGTAAAACATATTAAATACTTATGGTTATCTTTCCTCAACCTTGATCTCCAAAATAGCAGGCTAAAGCTTTTTGAATTGCAGTGTTGTAATCTAAAGCACAGGCAAGATACATTTTAAACCTTTCTTTTTCCTAAATTAAAAAAAAAATTCTCCATACTTTTGTATCTATGTAAATAAAGGCTAAAAACGTCAAGCGCCCCTGAGCTAAAGGATGATAAATTTCCGAAATCAGTGATATATAGGAATTTTATTTATTTAGTTACTGAGCACAAGATATATGACACAAGCACTTGATTTTGTAAAAAAAAATATATATATCCAAAGTCTAATGATTATTGTTTATTAATTTTTTACAAAAACAATTATCTGTGAGGTATGGGCTGTTTATTGTAAACATATTATCTATAATATGGTACAATTAAAGTAACAATGTAATATGAATCAATAATATAGTTATTTTAAAAAGCGAACATAATTTATAATAATTGATTAACTACCCAACTACCCAACAATATACAATAACATGAATAAGGTTGAAATGCCATGTACATTAAGAAACACCATTTTAATGGGCAAAATCGGTGGTCGACTCCTAGCATTTTTTTTGTTTTTTGAATTTCAAAAACAGCAAAATAATGTTAGCTCATGTTTTTATATACTAGTAAATGCCTTTTGGAAATATAATGTTACAAAAGTCATTCATAGAAACTATATGATCTACAGAGCGCATTGGCATATTTTTTTTTCATATTTTCACATCACAGAATTCATGACTTTACTCGAATAAGTAAGATTTTATCAAAATTGGCGACGTAATAAATCGGCAAACCAAATAATCATTCATTGAAGGGTTGACCGCGGGATTGTTCCAGTTAGATCGTGACAGAGATAAGTGTGTAACATGTATCGAATACTGTTTTATACTTTGTATTTAAAAAAGGGGGAGAAAGGCTTCAAAGATAGATTGTCTGGTTATCCAAATGAGATCTGTATACCAGCAAAACTTACATAAAGTGAAACAAAATATAAAGGCTCGATATCATACATGCAAAACATCATTAATGTTAAGTATTTATGATTAGGGTAAGAAAATGCAAAAAAAAAATAATCTCAATTTTTATTTCTGTAGTGTACTATATATATTATGTGAAATCAAATTCAGTAACGAATTTATGGATTAAAAAGAAATCACTATTCATGAACAAATTCACCTAAGTCAAATACTATGAGAAACATCTTGGCGAAAAAAGCTAGTTTGAAAAACAGAGAGCAAATGATATGTAATTTATAGGGAAAATGAAATGTTTGTGAATATTAATGTAAAAAATGCTTGATGTGGTAAGAAGCATTATAATATATTTGACAAAAAATGCGTTTTGTGGAAAACTGTTGCATATTATGAGTCAGCCTCCATAAGTCCTCTCTAATTAATGATAAAAGAAAACTATAATGAAAATATCTAAAATAAAAGAAGAAAAAAGCACCTGTTTGGAAGTTAATTCACTCCTTGTTATACACACTGCGCAGGTATCTTAACACTCTGTTTAACGCGTAATCAGCTATTCGGTAATCGTTATCAGGCATTCGGTGCAAGGGAAGCAGTTGTTCGGAAAACATGATTTTTTTATTTCAACAATAACTGCATACTTTAGCTAACAAAGTGTTTAATCTTTGGCAGACAACAGACTATAATAACAAACTCAAATTAAGGTTTAGTTAACACCTTAAAAAGCAATTTTTCAATGGCGGGGGAGTGGTGCCAATTTGTTTTATTTTTAAATATAAAAAAAACTTTCCTAATCACGATTTCAGGTGAGGTCCAAACCTTTACGAATTCCATCCTTCATCCGAGTATGAGCTCCACCTGCACATTGAATTGTCTGTGGATTTTTCATTTGGTCGATAAAGACAAAGAGCACACTGCGAGCGTGGCCGGTCTACAATAGTTGTTTATTCCTTCTTGGTCCCTGAACCAACCTCTGATGTTTGAAGAGCTCTGTGTTTACTCTACTGTTTCAATAGACTGTCGAGCTTGGTTAATCAGAACAGTTCTTTATGATGTATATTCATATTTCATTCAAAAATAATTCCCTTCCCTCTGTAACACATATTGTAAAACTAGTACTTAAAGTCAATTGCTCTTTGTCTCAAAAGTTTGAATTCTAGGTCATATTCGGTTTAACACACCTTTGGGGAATTTCTTAAATCACCTTTAAGTCTAGATTCTTTAATTGCTTGATACCAAACTAACGCTGACTTTCACAAACGACGACTTACTTTTACAACGAGAATATGTATTTATTTATCTTAACATTTGATAAAACGATAATAATTTAATTTGAATTGTAACACGTCATTTGATTGGTTAAACGGTTTTATCCATTTTGTATAACATAACTTGCCTACGTCACAATGAGTTACGTCAAAAACGTATTACTCCGCTTGATGTTAACTTTTAAAATATGCGATATTTGAAGCCTTTTTCCGAAGGAAATTAATGGGAAAATTGTCTCATTGACTACATTGAAATTAAATTATAAGAAATGAAGCTTATTTTAACTTATGTTATACGATATATAACATAACTTGGGGCAGTTTACGCTTTTTTATAAACCGCAAAGCGGTTTATAAAGCGTAAACTGACCAAGTTACGTTATATCGTATAACATAAGTTGAAATAAGCTTCATTCTTTAAAAAACAGGCTATTTCAAAGTCCATATAACGTTGTCTAGGAAGGAAACGGCAATTTACTAAACTCAACACCCTCCATTCCAACCTTAACTAACTCCTGTCGAGTTTTGCTGCAATTTTTAACAATTTGTAAGACTCACAAGTGCTACTATAAGATGTATTGGGTCTTTATTTTGTATCTGTATTCATTATTGTTCATAAAATGCACATTCAACATTCATTGTTTCTATTTTTACAGTGTTTATTTGCAATAGTTTACTTAGATGCCAAAAGTTGTTATCCACCGAATGTCCGGTAAGAACCGAATAGCCGATAGCGTGTTGAGCAGAGTGTTTATAGATTTGATAAGAAAATTGATTGGCTTTCTGCCAAATAAAAAATTATAAAAGTGCATGGTGAGGTTCCAAAATTTATTTCATTTTGACAATTTTTCTCCATGATAATGTCAACTTCTTATTAACTTGAACATAAGTATATGTTCTTTCAAAATCGGGACATTTCACTAGATGAACGACTGATACTCTAAGGTATATAACATCTAGTCTTACCTTGACAGATGGCTCATCATTTTCAAAATGGTATTTGTATAAATGTATGTACTTTACAGTTTATAAATTAAATAGTTTTGTTTAATTCAAACACTATTTAATATCTTTGTCTCTCATATCTTTAACTCAAAAAATTATTGCATCTGAAATATTTTTTTATTGAAAATAAAACACTTTGTCTTAAAGGTGTATGGACACAGATTTAAAGTTTAAGTATTTTCCGTATGATATCACGACTTATAGAGTTTAATAGCATTTTACACAAAAATATATTAAAAATTTTTGTTTCATCTTAAAGTTATCGATACTTCAAATTTTTGGATGGGTTTGATTGACACATCCTTTCACTCTCAAAAATTTTACTTTTATTCTTTATATTTAGGAAAAGTGGCAATCTTGTTGTGTATTAGTGAAAAATAGTAAAACTTTAATCCAGAAATACAATTATATTCAGAGTAGATATGTTAGAAATGTTAGAAACAGGTTGGGGGAAACTTAAATTCCGCTATAATAGTGGTATTTCACTATGTGAGATTCCGCTATATTTTCAGCCGCATTTGTCCTCGATCTCATCGGATAACATGTTTGCTGTTTATAGCGCAAGACATGGTGGGTATCAAAATGGATACAAAATGGTACTGTCTTTCCTGATATACTTTATTTTATCAAATAAAATATACAACATGACTAAAGATAGTCATGTATATTTTATTTGATAAAATAAAGTATATCAGGAAAGACAGTACCCTCACATGTTATGAATTTTATTAAATTTTCTGCCGATGCGTTTAATAATATAAGAAAACACTTTTTAAAACGGAAGTTACATTTTAACGTAGCAACGAGTGATTGCAGTTCTGAGTCCCAATTTCTTTCACAAATGTACAAAAAATAATATTTTAATTAACTTTCAATCCGCATAGAACTAGGATTGTCGAATTTACGGTAGAAAAGATAATTCATAATAGTGAAATACCACTATTATAGCGGAATTTATAGCAGCTGTATTATACACAAAATATTAACTTCAAATCTGTGTTCATGCACCTTTAAATGAGTATCAATTTATTTATCTAAAATTGTTGGATGGAAATATATTTTAATTTGTAGTTTTCTTATGTTTACAAATGTGATTAAGATTATTCGTTATGTAGCCACTGAGAAGGGTATTGCGGAAATATACGGGGTCCTTTGAGGAAAATGTAATGTGGATAGGCAGGATAACATGGTTTGATACAGTATTCTTCCCGACCAATGAAATTTCAAGATGTTTATCAGAGGCAGTTTAATAAGTTATATACTTCTTACTGCAACTTTCCGTCATCTGCAAGAGACGAATATTGTCTAAAACAATCATTTTCTTATAAACAACTAGTATTGCCACCCACCCAAACCAACCACCTCCCAGCTCTGTCACTACCCTGACTCTGTCCATTTCAGGAAATTCCACGCTTTTTGTAAACGAATGCGATCGTGACGTCATTTTTGCATGCCGTGAAATCTACAATCAAATTCAAAGCTACTATTACAGCCAAGTTCAAAATGCGCCAAAAATACTATTTACACTAAATTTAATTTAGGGTATCACATTTTATGTGTAATCAGGGAAATCAGTAAACACCTGTTTCTCTTATGCACATTCCATCGATATCTCCGACAGGTGCATCATCATGCTCATTTTACCGTCAGCCATTTTAATGAAGCACTGTTACAAAGGTTTAACATGACATACTAGAATTGATACGGCTAAAATATTTTGGTTTCTGTATACATTTGTCCGAATACACAACACTTTAAGATAAAGTAAGTGCGACATTATCACATATAAATCAGTTGTAATTATGTTATTTGGCTGTATTAACCTTTAAAAATCTTAAAATCAATTTTTTATGTGTAAAGATTAATAAAAAGGAATCAGAAATTTAATTAATGGGAAAAATTGTCTTGTATTCGTTGACATATTGTAGATGAACCTGGTAACGGAGTAAGGGTACATTGAATGAAATGACACTGGAGTGATACACGTTCTATTACGTGGAGTTATATAAGCCCAGGAACTTCCTTGCTAATATCACTAAAAACAATGTTTAAATTCATTACTATGTGTAGCAAAAAAGAAAAAAAAAACTCAAATGAAACTTATATGGAGACAACGAACAGAACTCCAGACCAAAAACCACAAAACAATACAAAACAGAAGAGCAAACACGGACCTCCAAAACATCAGAGGTGGGATCAGGTGCCATGGAAGAGTGAGACTCCCCTACCAACCGGTCACACCCGCCGTGTGCTCCTTGTCATGATCAGGAAATAACGGGAAAATCCGTCGTCAATTTAGTGTATAAAGAATGGACTAACAATTAGTATGACAAACGTCAGTCAGCATTTGACCAAAACACAAATTACATTTGCTGACATGGCCACCAAATGATGACCCCAAACGAGACTGCTGATATTCTTGTTTCATCAACTTGCCTGTCAGTAACCAACCTCGCCTTAGAAACTGTTCATACGTAGAGCATGCTCTTGCGTATAAAATCAACTGAGATATATAAACTCCGTATGCAGGGGAAGAAGGCATATTGCTGCATAAGTAAGGGAAGTTGACGATATAAAAGTTAAAGTAATCACGTTTATCAATGAGCTTGGTTGTTTTATGTGTGTGTGTGTTTTGCAATATATGAAAATTTTTATATACGAGGGGTTATCAAAACGTTCGAGGACTGAGGCTACAAAATAAGTACTATGTAGTCTGTGCTTTCAACATTTATCAGGAACATAAAACAACAAAAAATAAAGATATTATGTTGAAAATTTTAGCTTGATACGTTCATTATTTGCCAAATTATTTTAAAATAAAAACGTCATTATATGGTCACCTGGAGCCGGCGCCGTTTAGTTTCGTGACGTCTGGCAACGTCATTGTTTACTATTCCGCTTCTTTTACCTCATACACTTATTTTGATAAGATTCCCTGGGATAGAGTATGGACTTAAAACTTTCTTGTTTTTATGACATTACAATGTCAGGAACAGTGACTTTCAATGCATATAATATTGCAAATGGATTTATACATTTGGAGAGATCCTCGCCTGATATTGCCAACATAATTTGCTTTGTGGAGTTAAATATTTTCAACACTTGATCAACGTCATTTTTGACGTGATTCATTTTTCATACCTTGAGTACAAATCGACATTAACTTTGCATCAATTTTCTCTCTGAATCTCTTTTGGCATCTAAAACACAAGCCATCTGGATGCATTTTATTTCTCTGTAGCCAGTTTGAACATTTCCTAGGTCTATTTTAGTTTTTTTCAGGGGCACAACTTTATAGAATGTTGGAAAAGGAAACCACTCCCCCTAGTTGACGTCATTTTCAAGGCCTCATTTGTTTGGACACTCCAAGTAAAATTTACGATAAATTTTCATAGAACTTCCATAATAAGCTAAAATCCTATATTTTAAGGAACAATTGCGTCCCAACACATACCTGAATTTACGGAATTTTTTGGATGTCAAATATTCATATCAAAAGAGTTTTTCTCAGTTACATTTAGGTCGGAAAAACGTCGTGTTCTAGGTTGCGCCGCCTTGACGAACCATTGCTAACAAAAACATTACTAATTTATTAGAAAATAATTATTATGATTTGTAGTTTATTCTATAAAAAGAAAAGATGATGCTAATTAGATATTTCAAAATTCATTGATGTATCTGAAACGGTTTTAATTCTATAACGCTAGTCCATAAACTTTTTGATACACCCTCGTACACTGCATTGTGAAAAGATCGATTGAATGATTGATTGTATGTTGTTTAGCGTCCCTCTCCAGAGATTTTTAACTCATGGATGCACCACCCTTTGCTAGTGAAAACTTGCAAATTTTTCCTTTTATTCTGCATCTACGGTCATTGAGCAATTGGGGTCTTTTAATAAGATTATTAATAATTTGATTATAACAAATAATAATTTGGAGAGAAACGTGGGAAGTTTTACACTTATGGTCACGGAGTTTGGGTACTAAATGTTTGAAGATGGCCAGCGGGATATGTTTAAAAGAAATAAACGAGGGGCAAATACATTTTCTGCTAAATCTAGTAATGAAACGTATTTTGGTAAATATTTACTTTTTCATTTTACATTTTCATTCTTTTTTTTAATGATTTCAAACTTTGATCTCAAACATGACCTGCTAATGCAGTTATCAAAGTGCATTTTTTATAAATCATTATTTACCTTCAGTATGTGAATGCTCTAGATAATATCAGGGGATCATGGAGAATGCTCATTTGGACGTGAATGTAAGTTTTACTCTTGAAATGTATTTCCTAGGAAGAAGATACAAAACGTGTCCATGGAAGAGATGTTTTTGCAGATTTTAATGTGGAAAAACGATCTGTTGACAACACAGCAGTCCTTGGTAAATAATTAATTGTAATGCACAATGCATGGGAGGTCGACTATAGCACTGTAAAATGCTTAATAGTAAAACGAAAATCCGTAATTTCAATTTCCTAAGTATTTTAATATGTTTGTTAATTCTTCTTTCACCTTATAATGACTTAATGCGTTTTGATCGTTCTAACCGGAAATTCGAATACTAATCAATTTTTGATTATCTATATCATTATCACATGTTCCATACAGTATTTCACCCGTAATGAATGTCTTAAATAATGATATGGCAATTCAAAAAAGGCTTTTCATTGTATGGTGGTAATATAAAATCAGGAAAATCTTTGCATAAGATATATGGAGATATCGAACAGAAAACAAGCTTAAAAGTTCATTGAACATGTTGAAGCAATAATTTACATATCGGAAGTGGGGCAAACAATGGCCTTCAAAATGTTAGAGGTGGGATTTGGTGCCATAGCAGGTATGTTGCTATATATTTCAATTGCATCCTCTTCTCAGATAGTATATAAAACATCAAATCAGGTGTACCTTTTCATGTTCAAAACATTATTAATGACATCTCTTTGCTCCAGAAATGTGTTCATCGACGTCTTGTATCAAACTGAATTCTGCCATCTCTTCGAAAATCACAGTATCACTTTCTTGCCTCTGTTTTATTATTACATATTATTCGAAAATACAGTTTTTTTTAATGATTTGATTGATTTGTTAACTCTTCAATATGTTTTCTTTTTACATTGTTTTCCGAATTAAACTGTTCATATTTTGAAACTTAAAATTGAAATTATTGAATGTTCTTTATTTTGACAAGAAAATGGTAGTAAAAGGAAACGAAACTATTTACAATTCCTACGTCATTTTTAGAAAACACTTAAAAGCTGTGTAACGAAAGGAAAGATTTTAAACACAAGACAATGTCGAATTTACATCTAATTTCAATGTTTAGAATTTCTTGTTCAAATTTCAGATTCACAGGCTTTAAGATTAAGCAACTTCAATCCTCAGAGAACAGAAGATGACGGTAAAACTGTTTGATAAATTAAATATCATTATTTAGTTGTCATTTAGTTGATAATTAAGTTCTCGGGAAACATATATTTACTTCTCTAAACAAAAAGTGATTGTGTACATTTAACAATCTTTGGGCATTTATTCATGAAAATGACCGGTAATAAATACTTTGAAATATAAGGAGTGTAAATTTCAACATAATGTACTTCAAATGCCAATTTCCTTTTATTAGATTAATTCTAAGAAGATCAATTCATCTTCATCTTTCTTTTATTTTTTCCCTAACAGATGAAGAAGAAAAAGTTACTGAAATATTTTATTCCTGTGAAAGTTTTCCTCATTTTGAGTATATGTATAGACTTGTAAGGAGATTTGCAGAAGAATTAAAAGATACAGTGAAAGACTCAGTCGACTGTACCCTTTTTGATCTGAAGAATCCTCAGATAAAAATTAATGTTTCTGGAGATACCTCGAAAGGAAATCTACGTCAGCTCTCTAAAAGAAAAGGTGTTTAGTATAGCATGTACACATCCACATCTTGTTTCGATTCCATAGAATATATACATTAAAAACAAGTTAGTTAAGGACATTAAATTAACTTTCAACAACTTTTAATTTTCACTTTCAGGATATAAAGATAGAGATGGTAGGAAATGTTGGTCACCACGAGTCAATGTCTATTTTGAATGCAACTCTGATGACGTGGAACATGATACGGTTGGTAAAACGTTTTCTTTGATTGTCAGAATAAATCATAACTTGTCATCAACAGCTGTGTTTTAAACCGACAGCAAAGTTCATTCTATGTTAATTAAAACTGAACAAGACTCGTAAGAAGGCATTCAACATTTTTGATATAACTGCCAATATCTACGATATCAGTACTAGGATAAACTCTTCGCATTTGTAACATCTGCCTGCTTTATTATCATGGATATTGACGTGAAATGGCGAGACGTCTTTGTGACGGTAATCTTATATATCTGATTACACTTATGTGTTTGTGTTTGTTTGTACGCTGCACATAAAACATGGAGATAACGAACAGTATTCCAGATCAAAAATCCATAAAACAATACAAAATAGGAGCAGAGCAAACATGGACCTCCAAAACATCAGAGGTTGGATCAGGTGCAATGGAGGAGTAGGCAACCCCTGCCGACCGGTCACACACACCGTGTGCTTCTTGTCATGATCGGGAAATAACGTCAATTCAGTGTATGAATAATGGAATAACAATTAGCATGCATGAAAAACGTGAGTCCGCATTTGACTCAATGATTAATTGTATTTATTGACAAGGTCATTGTATTGACCATAGAACTTACGAAATGATTACTTTAAACGAGCATTCTAAAATGTTTTTTTCATCAACTTGTTCGTCGATAATTTACCTCGTTGCAGAAAGTGTTCATACGAAGAGCATACTCTTGCGTATCTAATCAACTGAAATGTGTAAAATCCGTATGCAGGAGATGAAGGTACCAGTATATTGTTACATAAGTAAGGGAAGGTGACGATAGAAAAGTTAAAGTCATCACGTTGGTCATGTATACCTCTGTATCTGTTGTAAGTGACTTTCATTGATGCCTTACTCTCCTTCATTAAAAGAAGTACATAGTTATTTTTGTCGCTACCGAGTATTGTATAGCATACATACATCTACACCGGTGACGACTGATTATACAAAGAGTGACGAAGTCATCGGTTTTATATAGGGGCCCTTAGATATACTAACCAATCGAATATGGCGGACAAATTCCTTTTACGAATCGTGTTCACCCTAGCAAAAAAAAAAATACTATATATTAACTAAAGTGATAACTTTGACACTACGAAAACTTTAATTTCATTTACTATCATATTAGTTAAAACTTTCAGTTACTATAGTGATAACTTTCACAATTTGATTTACTAAAGTGATAACTATTAATACTTAAGTATTCTGATACTGATCATTATGGGAACTTTCATGGTAAAAACTTTGAATTTCAATGTACGGGTACTTTATTGATAATTTTGAAAACTTTGAAATACTATAGTTATAACTATGACACTATAGTGACCAAACGTTTAAAAATTTGATTTACAATATAGTGAAAACTTAACACTTTGATTAACTATAGTAAACTATAATTAAGTTTAGTATTTTTAACAGGGCAGCTTTAATAAACAAGAATAATACTTTTACATATGTTTCTAGATTCATCTACAGTTTGGGGAGCTATCTTACTCGAATCAGATTGTCTACGTAGAACATGGTTGTTCAAAAATTCCACAAATTTCAAACAATTTTATTCATTTTATTGAAAATAAAAAGAAGAGCTTAAGAGAAGCAATTACAAAATGCCTTGAAGAACCTCTGTTTATATTTCTGGAAAGCCTTAAACCAATATTTGAAGATTCAAAAACATTTTTTTCTAAAGTCGAGGAATCGATATCCTTAATGAAGATGTTGAAAAGATGGGATTCCAGCTGCGATAAGTCTGTTTATATGCAACAAAATGTTATGCATAGAGTTCCAGAGAGAATTCATGATAATTTAATCAGGTAATGTGATACTTGTATCAATCTAATGAAAAAATAAGCTTAAATAATTTCTTCTCAATACATATATTAACAGTTTTATTAATGATTTTTGTTTAATACAGAAAACCTGGTGTGAATGCTTTTGGATGTTGGAGAAACGAAAAGTTCAAAGTTTTTGTTGAAGAGGCGTTAGATCAGAAAGAACTTGAAGAAGAATTACAGGAAATTGATAAAAAATTTCTTCTAAGTGTCGAACTTCAATTTTTGGCTAAAAGTATTCGTTTTCAACCTTATTTGAAACAAGGAGACCAAATATATTGCGATAATAAAATTACAATAAAATCAGAACTAACTTCATATGCAACTTTAGGTGCCATGATAAGAAATCAGGTTTCAGTTGAAGATTTATATATTTTAACGTGTGGACATGTTTTCCCGCGTCTTCATATGTGTGCCTATGGCAAACTGAATGAAGAGTCCGCGCCATGTAAAATCGGATCGTGTATATTTACTAGTCTTCCTGAGCAAGAACATTTCATTGATTTTTCTGTGGTAGAAGTTTCTAAAGACGTTCAAAAATATTGTAAAGTAGCTTTTATGCGGTCAGAGAATAAAAAATGCAATGCAATCGTGTACACTACTGAATCTTTTGAAAATACACTCGACTACGTTCATAAAAATGGAGCGACATCGGGTTGGACAGATGGTCGCATTCAGTGTTCCGGCTTTATGGCAAAAATGTTTGGCAACAGAAAAGACGTATTTCTGGTTCTGGGAAAAGGCGGGAAATTTTGCGAGCCAGGGGATAGTGGGTCCATAGTTTTTGCTCCTGATAATTCAGCGGATCAAGAAAATGTTCATATTCTTGGCATGCTTGTGGGAACCATGCACGGCGTCAATGCTGACGATAATAGCGATTTCGAAACCACGCCAGAAGCCACGAAAGCTAAGGACTCTCGGGCAGAAGAAAGACCAGAAGAAGTGAGCGAAGGTAGTGAAGGGGCACTTGCATCTTTGGGCAGTTTTGATCGAAGAGATGACGATAATATGCGGGGAATATCACCCGATGAATTTGCTGTTTGTTTCCGACTGGACTCTGCACTAAAGCTACTAAAAGAAAAGAATAATCTAGATGTTGAGTTTGAAAAAGTTTCAATTTCCTCAGATGAAGATGAAAGTGACTGACTTTGATGGAAATTGAATATTGGTTAATTAAGTATGTTTGATATTCTGTAAGCATGTAACATTTTGAGAATATTTTTTTCCAATTATAGGCCTACCATTCATTCACGTATAAATATCAACTATTAATATTCTTTGTTGTTGTTTTATTTATCTGGTATCTTTAAATTGATATGTGAGTTTCAAATACACTGTAGCGTTCACAGCTGACGAAAGGAAAAGTAAATCTACATATTAAGCGAATAATTATGTTCTCGTTTAAACGTAGGGTGGTATTAATTAAAGGTGCATAGACACAGTTTAGAAGTTAATATTTTCTCACATTTTCTGTATAATATTAGGACCTTTACATTACAAGAGTATTGCACAATATAATAAAAAGTACTTGAAACTTTGAATTTCTGGTAGGGTTTGATTGACATGTCAATGCACTTTCACAAATTATAATTTTATTCTTAATACTTAAGAAAAATAGAAATTTTGTTGTATATAAATGAAAAATAATAAAACTATAATTTAGAAAATTCAAGGTAAAATTTTCGAAAGGAAAACGCATTCACAGTATTAGATCAGTCTGTTCAGTGCAGACTTTAACAATTGAACACACCTGGTGCACAACAAAATTGCCACTTTTCAGAGGTATTAAGAAAAAAATTATAATTTGTGCAAGTGCAAGGATGAGTCAATCAAACCAGTTCAGAAATTTAAAGTTTCAATAACTTAAAGATGAAAAAAAGATATCTATTGTACTTTATGTGATATGCTATTACAATATATAAGTCGTGATATTATACTGAAAATTTAAGAAAATATTTACTTCAAATCTGTGTCTATGCAATTTAAAATTAATTTGAAATATTGAGATAAAGAACAGCAATCATTTTAGCGAAAGTTCATTAAGACAATAACAATCGGGAACTGAGATTATACAGACCTCCATACAAACGATACAATGTCCCTGTATGTGCCTTCCGAGAAAGACGTATGAAAGCACCAATTGTTCAAAAGTTATAACCAAGGTTCAAGATTGGTAAATTTGTGCAAAAGTGGGTCGAACTTCAAGGTAAAGAGGTCAAATTTGATGATTTTCAAAGTAAGCCCCGTCACAAAAATACACATGTAAAATATGAAAACCATAGTTTCAAACCACTAAGTCATGGGCAAAGTTTTTGCAAACAGCTACAAAAAAAGGACTGATTGATTGTCTGTTGTTCACGTCCCTCTTGAAAATTTTTCACTTATCTGGAGACGCCACCACTTGCTGGTGGAAAGTTGCAAATTTTGTCCTATACTCAGCACTCAGTACCATTGAGCAGGGAGGGATTTTTTTCCTGTCATCACCTACTTCAACATGGGACCTCGGTTTATACTGTCTCATTCGAGGGATCGGTTTCCACGTCCCACAGTGGGATTCAAAACCATGACGTAAGGATCAACTCCTTTGTGACTCTAGAGCAGAAACTATAACCACTGTGCCACATAGGTGATGAATAGAAGGATGGAGAGGGAAAAAAAATCGCATATTCCCGAATCTTTAATTACTGGTGCATAGAAATACCTGTAACATGTTACCAATATCTTATCTGTCTTCAAGATACACCCTCTATAACAATAAAACATTTAAATTAGCAATGTATTTATTAACAGACAAAAGAGTTATCACAGTATTAAGAATGTTTTATAGTTATTCATACATAGTTCATCAAAGCATGGCAAGGTAGCTAATAAAAGTCATACAGTCATACATTCACAGAATTTCAACAATATCTTTGAAAATTGAATATTTATGAAATAACCATTGTTTTAAATGGTCAATATTTTACTCCTAGTTAAACATTCATGACACTTTCAAATTCAGTGACTGTGAGAAATAAAAAAAATAATTTTACGGTGAACTTGGTGTGGCTTTCAATATCACAGATTCTTAACTTCTCTAAAAATATATAATCATGACAAAAACAAATATAAAATATTTATAAACATAACATCTGCACAATTCTCAAATTGTTTTCAAAAAGGATCACAATACTTCTGGAAATATTGATTAGAAAAAAAAGTATAATATCAAGATAATCAAAATAATATTAGTTTTCATAAAAACTTTAATGACACTGTACAGGTAATCAAAATTTGCTCAGTTTTAATCTTGAATTAAACAAGTTAAACTGAGTAATAAATGGACGGCTCTTTTCAAAATAAAAATGTTATCTATAAAAATTCTTTTCATGTGTTTAACAAAAACAAGAAGTTTTTAAGCAACCAAAACATTTACATAGTTAGCACTAGTAAAAATTTTCAAGAACAATTTCTCTTATGCATATTTTTTTTTTAATAACATATTTAACAAACAAGCAAAGAAGACTTCATTCCAAAATAAAACAAAGTAGCCTGGATTTACCATATTTGACCTTAAAGGTCAATTAATTGCTAATAAACAATGTCGCTAAATGTGTCAATCAAAATACAAACTTCAAAATTCATAGTCTAGCCATGCCTATTTCACATTACTCACTTCAAAAGTTTAACTAGAAGGTCATGCATGTAAAAAAATCAATCAACCACATGAAACTCTTTACCCTAAAAGCTTATTATTCTTTATCACTTAACATAGTCCATCATGCCAGAAAGCCAGAATCTGTTGTCAATGCTGGAAGTATATTTCAGCAAAATTCCACAGAGAAAAGAAGTATCAGACCCATTCCTTCAAGCTTTAAGATGTTGCTTAGTACATGTGAACTGCTTGTCTATTTTTTGTCTACTTCAGATGATGTGGTGATATGACCACCCTGATGTGGTCTATTTTTGTTCATTTTTTGTCTATACATGTCTATTTCAGTGGTGATATGACCTCCCTTATGTGGGTGTTGGGGGTTGGTGACCCTCTTAATGATGACCCTGGAGGACTCCTGGGAGGTTCTACAAATTAAATAAAAATATAAATCAGTGCTACATACAATGCTCTCTAACTTATATCTCACAATATATTGAGGTTAATCTATATGATGAAAAGACAAAGAGAGACAAAGCAATTTGGGGATACAGTTAATCATGGGTGTCTCTAACATCAAAATCGCCAATCCATGGATTATCAAGAGATGTAGATCTTCCAATCTATTTTTTAAGCTATTTAACTCCTCATATCTCAAGTAATTTTATATCTCAAGGTTTTTTCTCAGCCCTTATCAAATTTGATATAAAGAGTAAATTTATACATTACATGTATGTTTGGCATCAATGCTCATTCATTAAACACTTAATTGATTTTCATCTACTACCTTTAATTTTTCCTTTAAAAAAAGAAAGAAAAAGGCAATGCATTTTGGTGATTTTTTTGCTAACCTTTAAAGGGTCCCTGTTCTGTGTGTCTTGGGTGGAGATAGGAGGTAGGGGAGGGGTGCTGGGGATGGAGTGACGGTTAGACATCTCAGACTCGGTGAGTCGTACTCGCTTGTTCCCCGCACTGTTAGAGGTGATTGAGCGAGATACAGGGGTGGTCGTTGGAACTTCTTTTGTACCTAGAGGAAGAGAATTTCAATTATTTTTTCAAATAACTTCTACTTGATAGCTATACTGATTTACTTTTCCTTTATACAGTCTTGGAATTGTATCATCACTTTACTCATAATCATGCACTCAGACTTACTTAAAAGTTGTTTTCTATGTTTTTTGGCCTTGGGTCAATTTTCATATCATCGAAGTAACTAGATCTGATCTGCAATTTCAAAATCAAATTACAAATAACTTACCAGTAAATGACCTTGGTCGTGTAGAGTTGACCATTGGTCTGTTGACAGTGACATAGGATCTTAAGTTGTTCTGTGAGGCGTTTATCAACCTGTCATCAGTCAGGCCTGGGGATCCATACTTAGAACTGAAAATAAAACATGGATTCAAAATCAACTCAAGATTATCCAAATGTTGATTGTAATTTTTAAATCTTCAAAATATGTACAATTTCTGTCAGTTGTTTTACTATGTTTTCTCTCAAGACGAGGCATAACCAGCAGCCAAATGAATGCTTTCAATTCGAAAAACTTGCAATTTAGAAAGGACCAATCAAAATCTTTTGCTCTGATATTACCTGATAGTATTTTGGCCAATCAGCATTCTGTTTATATCCAGCTCTAGGATTCGAGGTGTATTCATGGCATTCAGATCAGAAGGGTCTCCCCTAGCCAAAGAAGTGTTCATCTGAAAATAATGAAAGGAAAAGCATTATTAATCTCCAGTCATACTGAATCCAAAACGTATTCCTCCGCAAATTTTCTAGATTGTCAATTGCAAGCATTGTTCATTCTAATTAAGTGAAATTCCTATTTGTTGAAGAATTTTTAAAGAAAATTATTGGAAATGAAAATACTATAACATGAACAATTAATTAATCCATTTGTTACTTACATTCCATGTCTGTCGTTGTATTGTAGTATTAAAATTAGCCAGTGCAGGGGACCCCATCAGTCCCGTCTCGTCCCCCTCAAGGGGGCGGGGAAACTCCCTCCTGAAAAATGCCTGCTGTGGAGGGTCACTTGTCTGGTAAGGAAAAAAATAATTTTAATATAAATATCTCACCAAAATAAGGTGTCATTAAAATAAAATTTTCTATAGAATTTTCTTGAAGGAAATCCTTTTTAATTTTATAATATGTACGTCTATCCAATTTCTATTTTTTAATTAATATCGTAATTATCAGTGCGTTATGGTTTCCATTTATTCCCTTACCTGTTGAATTTGTCGAGTCAGACCCCTGATGTTGGAGGCTGGGGTGGGGGCGGGGGCGAAGGAGCTAAACTCTCGTGAGGGGGAGATAACTCTGTGTGGGCGGGTGGGACGACTCAGTTTACTGGCATACCTCTCCTTAATCTCCCTGTAAGCAGCGGAACATAAAGTCAGTCAGATTTCCCCTTGTATTACATAATACACAAGCATACCTTGTACATTGAGGTAATTTTAAGACTTTTCCATGGTTATGGAATATAAACTAAAATTACATTTTAGAATCTTATCAGATCTACTTGTCATTTCATTTTATAACCCCCCAAAATAATGCCTCACTCAAGAACCTATTGATTATTAAGTTTTACCAAAATTCATTAAAAATTCTTTA